GGGAACAGAAAGCCTCATCTTTCTCCCGCAGAACAGCTGGTAGTTTCAAACTGCTGACCTTGCGGTTGACAGCCCAATTTGTAACCATTATATAGGTAAAACTAAAAGGTACAAGCGTCAGAGTTCACATTCTTAACCAATAAAGACTTTTGCCTCACTTTTCACACTATGCAGTCATGCATTCACTTAATGTCTATGATTTGTTGTTGTTGTTGCTAAGTGCTGTTGAGTCAATTCTGACTCATAACCCAGCATAGGGTTTCCTGGGAGTGGCAGGTGAGTTTGAACCGCCAACCTTGCAGTTCAAACCAACCTTAAGGTTGGGTGCTTATCCTATGGCGCTACACCAGGACCATGATGTTGTTGTTGTTGTTGTTGTTAAGTAAGTGCCTTCTAGTCAATTCCAACACATAGCAACCCTGTATAAGGTTTCCAAGGAGCAGCTGGTGAGCTTGAACCACTGACCTTGCAGTTCAAATAACTTTGCAGTCTGACGCATTAGTCCACAGTGCCACACCAGGAATCCAGGAAAACAATACATATTGTGAAATAGTAAAGTATGAAATTCTTATGCTGCATTGTATTCAGGCAGTCCCTGTATTACAAACAAGTTCTACTACTAAATCTGTCTTAAAATCAAATTTACTCGTAATTTGAAACAGTTAAGTACAATTAAAGTCAAATGTTTGTCTTTGTTGTTGTTGTTGTTAAGTGCCATCAATTCGGTTCCAAGTCATAGTGACCCTGTAACAGGATTTGCGAGGAACAGTTGGTGAACTTGAACCGCCAACTTTGTAATTCAAACCAACTTTGCAGACCAGCGAATTAACCCACAGCGCCACACCAGGAGTATACAGAATATAGTATACCTTTCTATGAACTTCTGGTGTGGCACCATAGGATCAGCGCTGGACTGCGAACCACAAGGTCAGCAGTTCAAATTCATCAGCTGCTCCTCAGAAACCCTATACAGGATCCTTATGAGTAGAAATCTACTAACAACAACAACATACTTTTTTATGCATAAAAATAAACATCTTCAACATAATAATGTTGTTGTTGTTAAGTGTCAACAGTGAATTTAGATTCAGAGCAACCAGACCTTTGTAGTCCAGTGATTATCCTACAGCGCCACCCAGGACTCCTCAACATAATACAGTAAGAAAAATATTTTGATGCACATTGCAAAGTAGTACTCATTTATTAGTTTTTTATCATGAACCATTGTATGTACTTCAAATTTTTAATATAATAGAGGCTTTATAGAGGTTGGGACCATGAAGGTCACATGGTTGTTCACTTTCATTTCCTCTGGCATTTAGCAGGTATTAGGTAAATAAAGGAGCTCTGGTAGCATAGTGGTTACGAATCGGGTTATGAGCGGCAAGGTCAGCAGTTCAAAACTACCAGCTGTTCGGTGGGAGAAAGATGATGCTTTCTGCTCCTGTTAAGATTTACAGCCTACCCTGTACAGGGTCGCTATGAGTTGGAACCAACTCCACGGCACATAACAACAACAACAACAAGTAAATAAATAGCCCATTGCCACTGAGTCAATTCTGACTCATAGCAACCCTACTATAGATTTTGAGGCTTCTTTTCTCTAGTGGAGCAGCTGGTGGATTTCGAACTGCTAACCTTGCAATTAGCCACCCAACATGTCACCCACTACACCAACAGGACTCCTGAGGTAAATTCACAGTGAACAAATATTTCATATCAATGTTCTCAGAACACAAACTGAATTCATGCATGAGCTAATTTGTTCCTCTTGACAGCTTTGTGAAATATGTAAGGTTTTGCATCACTTTACCTAAACCACACCCCTCTCTACCTTCCATCTTCACCATTCTGCCATGAGAATGAACATATTGCAAAGCTTTAAATCAAATTCCTTGTAAATAGATTGAGATGTTTCTGTGATTAATGCAATGTGCCCATATCAACATCATCCCCTAAAAAATAAGATAAAGGTGACTCAATATACTTATTTACAGCTACCTTTGACAGTTGTGGAACTGAGCTATGTGAACCCAGGGTTCTTAATTCTTAAGTCCATAAGCTATTCTCTTACCAAGGTGTCTATCTATCAATACCTCTACCTGCTCTTACCTTCTTCTTAAGAGACCATCTGGAGGATCAAATGAGGTAAAGATACTAAAACACTTTATATACATCTCTACTGAATAGGTGACCACAGTTAGGTAGGAAAATAAAAATCTCCACCCAAATATTTCTCCTAGGCAACTGCTTTTAATTTTGAACTTTCAAAGCTAGGGCTTTAATATAAATATCCTATCTCTACATCAAGCTTACAGATCCATAAAAGCAATGTCTGGATCTCAGAATAAAATTACGACAAGAATTGGTTGTATTAGTTAGATTGCACTCTAATTGAATTATAGGTAACTGCTCTAACCTGATTTTTATTTTAATTCATGAAGTGTCCTCATGTAACAAAACACTTTCAATTTCAAGGTAAATCCAACCTTCCATCATTCTACCCATTAAAGAATTATCAAAAACAGACAGATTTTGAATACTGAATCTTTATGTGCTAAAACTGTAAAGCCAAAGAAAATTATTTACTTGCTAGTTAAACTGTGAAGCTCGAAGAAAACCAAGAATTATTTTTATCCCATTTTATCCTCTTTACACCTCTCTCCATTTTTCTGTCTGAATTTTAATCGTCGTTTCATGTTTAACATGTCATAGCTAATGCAATTAAGTCCAGAAAACTGTCTCCCTAAATGTTTCCTCTATTTACACCACTCTCTACCTTCCATCTTCACTATCCTGCCATGCATGAGAATGAACATATCACTAAGCTTTAAATCAAATTTCTGATAAATAGATGGAGATGTTTCTGTGGTTAATGCACTGTGCCCATATCAACATCCCCTAAAAAATAAGATAAAAATGACTCGCTATGCTTATTTATAGCTACATCTGACAGATTTCTGATTTCTGATCACCTGAAATCCTTAAGGAGAAAATTCAATCTATACAGCACAATTATTTTAAATCTTATCAAGCAATGTCAAAAGAAAATCAAATGAAAAAACTCTATCAGTACCAAACCATCTCACCAATGAATATTTATGACATTTCCATATTTCCTGTCTTCTCTACTTACATAAAGTGGTGGTGCCAAGACTCATCTCAAGATTATTAGCCTACAAAACAATGATGGGCCTAATTTCCTTGCAAACCAGGACACCAATAAATGGAGTCTTCAAGCAATCAATTTTAAGAGGGTGAAAAATAAAGGCTTAAGCTCTTTTTGCATACATGCACACTGCCTGACTAGGAAATAAATTCATCCTCATATTTTTCAGTTTTGGTCATCATTTTCAAGCAAGGAATGTTCCCTTAACAACATCAAGCTCATTAAATTTATTTAAATTCCAAATTCCAGAACTAGTTGTTAAATGTACTAGGGAAAGGCAAAAGCAGAGACATCATACAAAAAGATAGCCACCACATTCCATTTTTACCTTCTACCATTTTTAAGTTGGGAGTGGGTTCTCCCCCCTCCCCAACTTTCTTTTTATGATACATTAGTAACAGAAAGAAAACATCTACCTAAATTGAAATCCTCTAACTTTATTCTGTTGATTTCACTTCTAAATGATACTGACATAAATGAAACAAACAAAAAGATCCAACTAACAGCTTAAGGCATCTTCTCAGAAAGACAGTCTTTTCTGCCCTCTGATTACTGTCCCTCAGTCAAAAACACCCACCAGAGCTGTCCATTTAGGTGTTCCAACCCCTAACCCTCTTGTGTCTCTTGAAGACAATCCCAAACCTTTTTCTCCAAAATTATCCAATCTACCTGATCCCATCACTGTTCCCTGACTCTTCTATCTTCTCTGCCACATCCACCCCTACAATCCCAGGTCTTCTGCTCCTTAAATTTTCCTGCTGCCACTTCACTATCTCCACCAGCTAGTCACAGACAGTCCTGCTCCAAAACTCTCTGACACCTTGACCAAGGGACATTTTCTTCAGCACACCATCCCCTAGCTCTGCTCCCCACCTACCACTTTTCTTTCCATGAATCCAGCCCAGTAGCATCTTCTGTGCCCTCAGCCTCGACCCTGAACTCAGGGAGCCATCATGCCTCTTCCAGTGGTTCTAAAACCATCCTCACTCCAATTCCACTGTGTTCCCTCCTCCCAGTTCATTTTGGGCCTAACTCCAACTCTCCATGCCTCTTGCCAGTTCACCATCATCCCCCACCCCACCCAGGCCAATGAAAGTCCCACCCCCACTCCAACCTCCATCAGCCCCTCTCAAGGAAAATCAAAATTTCAACCCTTATGTTTTACTCTAACCCCTGCTATTTCAAAAGGTTCCATAAATTCCATACATCCAGATGACAAACGCCCACTTAAGGCTCAGGTCCCAACCCAACCCAAACCCCTCATTCCCAGCTCCCACAACCTCCATCAGCTTGCCCCTGGGCCACCCCAAATTCCACCCTTCTGGATTAATATCCCCTCCCCAGGATCGTATCCTAGCCTGTTACACCCCACTCTCCATTGAAGGCATCCCCCCTACCTCCCAACCCAGCTCGGATCCCAAGCTGTCAACTGCTCCAGGCCAACCCCAAATCCACCACCCTCACTCAGTCCCCTCCCCCATTAAAAGCCAGCCCACTCCAGTCTTATCTTCCATCTCGCTCCAACACCATCCCAAATTCTACCTCCACCCCCACTAAATGCTCCGGCCCAGTTCTGGTCATTACCCATTAAAAGTCCCCCTCCCTTGTCGCTCCCCCCAACCTGCTCGAGTCCCACCCTCACCCCACCCCCAGCCCGCGCTGGGACAAATCTCCCCCGCCAGCCCGCCGTTCCATCACGACCTTAGCCCCCTCCCCCAAACCCACCCGGGGGCTCCGCAGTCCCTCTCTCATTCTCTCCACTACCACTGGCCCAACCTCAGGATAAGCAAACCAGGTTGGGGAATGGAGCGGGGGGGAGGGCCTTCCTCACCGGCGAACAACTGCAGGCGAAAACAGTGGCGGCTGAGGCAGCAATGCCCTTGTCTTTTCTGGCGACTGCAGCGGCGACGCTCTCACTCCCTCGCCGGTGTCCGTAGGGTGGTGGATGGCGCGCAGGGACTAGGAGCCTCCTCCTCTTCAGCGACTCGGCTCTGAATCCTCTGCAGTAGCCGCCGAGGAGACCGACGGTTGGGGGAGGGGACGTTCGGCTGCAGGCGAAAGAGGAGGAGGTAGAGGGAGGAGGCGGAGGACTGCTGAGAAGGGCGGGGAAGGAGGAGCCGGCGCGGCGCCGCGACACGTCCCACCACCTCAGTACGCCAGGACCACAACTCCCGGCATGCCCTGCTCTGTGCTCTAGCCCGCGCCTCCCGTCTCACACCGAGCGTGAAGGCGCCGCGCCTTTCCAGGCCTGGGACAATGGAATAAAGCCAACCGTTGGCGGGCGGGTATTGTAGACTCAAAGACCACATGTGAATGAAGTCAGATCATCCTGTAGCCCGATCTCCAAGTGGCGAGGCTCACTGCATCTCCGCCTGTCTCCAACACACATACGCACACAAACACACCACACGCATACACACACACAAACACACACACAAATATTGCCTCCGCTGGACTACATTTCCCAGCATTCTCTGCAGCTTTCGGCCTGCTTTTCGTACCCTTCTCAGACCTTGTACGCTTTAATTCTCGAGAAGTGTGGTCGTTGTGAAGTGCTGGGAGATGCAGTTTTCAGTTCTTCCTCCATGTTAAAAAAAAATAAGTGAAAGCGAGGAAAGAGGGAAGGAGTGTGGCAACCCATCGGAGACAGGCCTAATTCGGCTAAATCACCTGTGAGTCTGAATTCTACTCGCCATCTCTCTTTTGCCATAATCTCATATCAGCAATAGCCGCCTCACTGGTCTCCCTCCAAATCTGTGTAATATTTGGTAATTTGAACACAAACATAAAACGGGCATACTTCTTGACCCAGCTCCATTACTTGTAAGAATTTGCCTCAAAAAGGTAATTCATTGAATGGTAGAATTGTCAATTTTTATGTCTATTTTACCATACACAACACACACACAAAATAATAGTAATCAAACGATCTGGAAAAGCTGAATGAACAAAGTTGTTATATGAGATTGATGAATACCCATCAATTGTTGTTATGTGCCGTGGAGTCGGTTCCGACTCAGCGACCCTGTACAGGGTTTCCGAGGCTGTATAGGGAGTGGTTAAATCAATTATAATATATACATACAACGCAGTACTAAGTCATTTATATTTATGATATAGATCTACTTATTGATATGAAAATCTATTCATAAATTATCCTCTAGGAAAAAATTATTACAGAGCAGCATATTTAGAATGGCCCAATTTATTTGAAGTTTTAAACAATAGTCTGTAAACATAGAGAGATTACAGTAACGAGGTGCCCCAGAATATTATCAGTGATTATATTGGAGGAAAGAATTCAGATATGGAGTAATTTTTGTTTTCATATTGTCTGATTTGTTTAAAAGGAACACATACCATATTTTTAAAAGCTTAAGACTATATTAAACAAATACGGTTTACAAATCCAACAACCTGTTTGCCATCAGCAGTGCGTCAGGACTATGCCTGATTGTGAGCTCCACGATTTATGATTAAAACCAATAATATAATATTGGCGACTTCCAATTCACAAAAGAACATTAAGTTGTTAGGGAGAATTTTCAAGTCCTCTTCTGACATTTTTCTTCTGGAACCTGTGTATTCATCTCTCCTAGAGTATTATATTATTATCTGATTCAACACAAATCATATATTTAGCTACAGTCTTTTTATTGTATATGTTATTTTTTGATGTTTTGCAAGGACATTCTAGCTCCAGCTCTGTTCAATTCATTCATTGCAATGGTCACACAGAACTCAGACACCATACTTCAACAGTTAAGGGATTTATTAGGGACGTTAACAGGTTACACTGTAGGTTCAGAATGCTCAGAGCACTAACTTTTCCTGCCTGGATTTCTTCTAGTGGCCAAATGCTTGCTCAAAATTCAAACAGCCAAGCAGTCATTTTTTTTTCCCCCCTACTAGTCTTTCCTTCACAAGGTACATCTCTTGTTCTCTCAGCAGTTCTGGATAGGACTCAAGTTTTCTACTTAAGCACCTTTCTGTATACTCAAGATGCTGGCTTATAGTAAAGCCTGTTTCTTTCAGACAATGCCTAACTCCCTTTTTAGCACTTATATGAGTCAGAACGGACTTAATGGCACTTAAAAGCAAAACAACAATCAAGAATAGGCTGTTAAGTGCTGTCCAATCAGTTCCAACTCATAGCAACCCTTTATAGGGTTTCCAAGGAGCAGCTGGTGAGTTGAACTGCCAACCTTCTGGTTCAAATCAACCTTATAGTCCAGCATATTATCTTGCAGCACCACACCAGGACTCCATATAGGCTAGAGACGGGCTTAGAAACTCTCCATGATAACAATATCCAATCTTCATTCCTTTCATACATTTAGGTCTGTTACAAAACTAGGTAGAGAAAAACCTGACTTAGCCAGTCTGACTTTTTGCCTTAGGTGACTCTAGTAGCAGCTTTTCACCTCTCAGCTAAGGATAACACCATTCACATTCCTTTCCATTACAGGTAAAAATAACCAAAGTAACAATCTAGGAATCAAAATTTGACTTCCCATACCCCTTCTATGCTTCCATAAGTCTAGAGCCATTGCAACAAATCCCACTTCTGTCACCAAATGCAAGAAAAATGAGTGTTCTCTATTCATCTGGATTCACTAAGTCTTTGCAATGACCACACAAAATTCAGACACCATAATCACAGTTACAGGGTTAACTAGGGAAGTTGATATATTAACTTAATGCAAGATCAGAAAATGCTCAGGGCACAGATCTTCCACTCAGGACAGTCCCTTCACAGCCATGCCCACAGACAGGCCTCCCTCTCTGCCTGGGCTATGTTACAAAACTCTGTTAGGGCTACTGATAAAGGCACACTACTCCACTGTAAGCCTCAGCCTGAAGGCACTCGACTCTAGCTCCACCTATTAAGTGCTTAGAGGCACCCCACTCTGTAAGGAAGCCTCTAGCCTAAAGTCACTCAGTTTTACTTGCTCTGTGATCTGGGAAACCCACCACTGTGTCTCATGCTCTGGCTCTTCATTTTCCTGCTGCCACTCCTGTGTTACTCCTCTGGTGTCACAGTTTTCTATCCCTGACTTGAGGAGCTTCAATGCACAAGAAGCTTGGGGTCCAAAGGGTGAACTACATACACTCTTGGCTCTTTCTTCTTTGCTGATAGTAAGAAGCTCCCATTCCTGCTTCTGATTGTTGTTGTTAGGTACCATCAAGTCAGCACCAACTCATAATGACCTTATGCACAGCAGAATAAAACAATGTCCGATCCTGGGCCAACCTCACTACTGTTGCCACACTTGAGTCCATCGATGCTGCCACCTGGCCAATCCATCTCATTGGGGGTCTT